CACCAAGCAGAGAGGCAGAGAGCATAAGCACACAGACAAGCTGGGTTTCCCGGTCCAAGGAGATCTCTCTAGACCAGGGAGGACTCTCAGAGAGTCAGGTTTGAGCTGGAGAGAAGTGGAGGGTTTCAGCTTGTGCCAGGACCTTGGGGACAGCAGTGTGGGCCTGTGGTCATGTGGCCTGCGTGGTTTCTGTCTGTTGGTCCTTGTGGCAGTTTGGACTAGTGCAGGAGAGGGGCTGGGAGTGATGCACCTGTTGGGGTGCAGCCATCTACTCACGACTGCTCCCAGGCTGGGACACGTAACAAGAGCCAGCTCTCCTTCCCACCATGAGAAAGATGAGAAGGCTGCTTAGAGGACGGCATCTGACACCTGCATCTGGACAGGTGCAGGCTGGGCTCCCTGGCCGGAATTCGTTGCCCCTGTTCCTCTCCCTGAAGTACAAGCCATGCTTTGGCCAGTTAGGGGGAGAGCGCATGGTTGGCCCCAGAGCCACAGAACTTTGTGGCCCTGAGCCTGAACCCCTCTTCTTCAGGAGGCTGCAGACCTCTCCTCCCTGAAACACCAGCTGGATGAACTGGGTGTGCCCCTCTATGCTGTGGTGAAGGAGCAGGTCGGGACTGAAGTGAAGGACTTCCAACCTTATTTCAAAGGAGACATCTTCCTGGATGCACAGGTGTGTGTGCTGTGACTGGTGGGGATGTCTCTGCTGTGGAGAGTTGGGGGCTCAGGCTGTGTCTGACTGGAGCTGTGTGCTGGATCCCCTCTTATTTCCTGAGCTTATGGGGGCGCCCCCACCCTTACAGCAAACAGCCCTCTTAGTTATTCCTGGAGCCCTTCCCTGCAGCATGACCAAGAAGGGTGGGAAGCAGCTAAAACCCCACCAGGTGCTCAACATGCAGGTGGGAGTCCCAGCACAAACTTTCAACCTTGGGTTCCTTGAAACTGTATTTCTTTCTTGTCTGCTCCACCCCATGCAGAATGTAGCACTGTCATAAGAAATGAGAGGTTGGGGGCTGGGGAGATGGCTCAGCGGAGTAAGCGCTTCCCAGGCAAGCACAAGGGCTTGAGTTCAATTCCCAGTTCCGCAAAAAAAAAAAAAAAAGAAGAAGAAGAAATGAGAGATTGAAGCTGTAGCTCAGTGTTAGAGTGATTGCCTACTGTGTGGGAGGCCCTGAGTTTCATCTCCAGTGCTACAAAATAATCATAGCAACTATTCAGTAGGCATGGTTGTAACACTTGTAACCCCAGCTACATAGGATGTATAGATGGAATCATAGATTCAAGGCCTGCCTAAGCAAAATAGCAAGACCTTATCTCAAACCAAAAAAAAAAAAAAAAAAAATCAAAATGGGCTTGGGATGTATCTCAGTGTTCCCTGGATTCTATCTCCAGAACCACAGAAAAGAAAATAGAGTTGCTTCCCTAAGTCAAGCCTGCTAGGGATGTAGCTCACTGGTAGAGCACTTGCCTGGCATGTGTGAAGCTATTGCACATATACACGCATATGCACACATGGGCACATATACACACACAGGCATGCATGCATGCATACATGCATGTGCAGTTTTTAAGGAAGAAGTTACACCTGGAGGAATCTCTGTCTCCAAAGGCAGTTGAGGGTGGTCCTGGCTGGGTGGGAGGGGACCTGACCCAGCAGGCTGGGGGCTTTGCCTGAGTACAGATGCCCTGCCCAGAACCTGCCTCCCTGGGTGAGGAAGCGTACAGGCTGCTCACTGGTTGTCTTGCTTGCCCTGCAGAAAAAGTTCTATGGCCCACAGAGACGGAAGCTGTTGTTCATGGGATTTATTCGTCTGGGTGTGTGGTGCAACTTCTTCCGGGCCTGGAGTGGAGGCTTCTCTGGAAACCTGAAGGGCGAAGGTGTCATCCTCGGGGGAGTTTTTGTGGTGGGATCAGGAAAGCAGGTATATTCTTGGTGTTTTCCTTGTGGGTCAGTGGGGGTGTCGAGGGCTGACTTAGGCTGTTTGAGTCTCTTGGCCTTCCAGAACCAGGAAGCATGAAGCAGAGAAGGGCAGGCAGGTATCTGCGCATCACACGCATCATGCAGTAGTCTGATGTAGCCTGACCACATTGCAGACATGGCTCTGGGGGCCAGGAGGGACTGAGCGACAGCCCCAAGGAGCACAGATCTGTGGCTCTCAAGCTTGAGCCTAGGCCTTCTCACATGAAGTTCTGTCTTCTGGGCTTGAACCCCAAAGCATCATTTGTAGTCTTTTTGAGTATTTCCTTTGGTGCATTCCCAAGCCATGATGGTGAAAGCAAGGAAGAGAGAAGGAAAAACAGGTCTGATGGGAATAGCAAGGGGGCCACACTCTTCTCTGGGGGACTTGGTGTTGGGGCGGAGCCTGGAAAAGTAACCAAGTGCTCAGCAGGGAGGCTGCCCTGAGGCCAGGTCCTAAGGACCCTGAATCAGCCAGGGGACACTGGAGGAAGATATAGAGAAAAATTAGGAGGCCACCGCAGGCACTCAGCAGGGGTTCGGAGCCCCCGTCTGAGGAGCAGGGCAGGGCAGTGCTAGCATTGCAGACAGATGTATGGTGGGGTGGGGCAGCGCAGGTACAGGCAGGCAACAACCTGGAACTGGCAGCCTGAGCCCTAGGCCAGTCTGTCAGCCTTGGTCATGACAGTAACATGTGAAGAAAGTGTTTTCTTTCCATGGAAGGATGGGGTGGTCTGGATCACTGGATCTCAGTGCCAGTGTTGGTAATTGATCTTTCCCCTATTTACCAGGACTGAAACTGGGAATAGAAACCCTTGCATTTTAAGCTTTATTTCTGATCTTTTTCTTTACCTTTTCCTAACTGCTTTTGCTTTTGCTAGAATTTGGCATTAAACACTGTCTAGTTTAATGAAATCTGTTTGTGCATTTTCCAGTTAATAAGATGAAAATATCACTGGTAGTGGCTGCCAGGGCCCACCTATCTTTCGGGGTACTTATGCAGAACCGTGAGTCTCTACATGGCCAGTCTAGGATGTCAAGAATTCTTGTTCCCAGCTATGCAGAAGGAAATTAGTCACTCGGGGATATAGCTAGAAAGGAGTAGATTGAAATGCGAGTGTGTCTCGCTCCAGAGAGCCTGTGCAGCCGCTGCCCATGAGCTGTCCTCAGAGGTAACTCCTGGCCTTTCCATCTGCACTGTGGCATTCCTTCCCCTCTGGCTCTGCCTTCCCCTGGCCTCCAGGGCAGGGCTTGACACACCTTCCAGCCTTCTCCTGCCCTGCAATGACTCACCTGGTGCTCATGGGCTCCAGTGGTGCATTCCTGGTGTTGCTAGGTGTGATGTTTGATTTTGTTGGTACGACCTGCAGCTCCTGGCTTTCCCCTGCCCAGGGGAAGGCTTGTGATGTTCACTGAGCATGGACCTTACCTGCCAGGTGCCATGCCATGGGGATGCTGAGTTTCCCTTTTGTTCTTGGTTTTTGTTTTTCATAATAATAATCTGTAAAGCATACTCAAAGAAGTATATATGCACTGTAGAAAATTTGAAAAGAACAAAATGATGGTGGGGTCATTCTACAAATTCATCCACCACAGGCAACCCATTGCAACAGAGCTGAATGGCTTTATTTTCAGAAAACAGTGTCTGTTATGCTTTGTGTCTTAATTGTCTCCCCAAAGCCTGATACAGTCATGGGGTGGACTTCTAGAGTTTGTGATTAACTCATGATCCACTGAGATTATGGGTATGAGTTCTGCTGGGATTATGGCTGTGAGTACTACTTCCAGCCTGGGGTGGATAGCCTGAATGCAGCTGAAGGGAGACAGACTCACTCTCGCTCCTCCCTTTTGCTCTCTGCTCTTTGCCACTGCCATGAAAGGTTGTTCTGTGCCATGTGCCACTCTACCTTGGAGCTAGCTGAGTATAGAATGAAACCTCTAGTAACTGAGCTAAATAAACCTTTCCTTCCTTCATTTTCAGTGTCAGGTGTTTGTCCCAGCAATGAGAGAAGAGTAACTGAGACAGTGGCCTACTAAGCTAATTTTTTTCCCATTAGCAGTGTGTCTTGCACCCTTTGCCATATTGTTAAGTGTTCAGCACCTATCACAATCTCGCCTCTTCAGTGCTACTTCATCAGGTTTTCCTGCTGTCTTCAACTGCAGTGTTCTTTTACTTTTCTCTGTTCCTATTTATACCCTGCTGTCTCCTGTGACTTGTCATCTGTGAAGCCTTTCCAACACCTCTGTCCTACATAGCCACTCCTGGCTCCTGCTTCAGCTGCTATGTAGCACAGTGCTGCATTGAGGCTTCCCCAGAGGACTGGGCTCACAGGCAGATTCCTGGCCTGGGGTGGCTCTGTGCCCTCCACTGCAGGTGCAGGGCTGGGCGTGGCACGGTGCTCAGCAGCTAGCCCATGAATGAGGACTGATGTTCCCTTCTGTTTCTTTTCAGGGCATTCTTCTTGAGCACCGAGAAAAAGAATTTGGAGACAAAGTAAACCCACTGTCTGTTCTGGAAGCTGCCAAGAAGATCAAATCCAGGAGTCCAGCCTCAGAGAACAAATGATCACATGAAGGGGGCCTGCTCGAGGGTACCCAGGGACACTCACTGTGTTCCTGGGGGGTTAGAGGCCACTTGCACCACATGCGCACTGTGGATTATTAATGTATTGTAGTATTGTTTCCAGTTTAGGCCCACTAAGGCAATATAGGCCCCAAGACAAGATTGACAAAAATCTAAGAAACTAGTGAAGAAAAGACCTGGAAATTAGGAGGCTTAAAGTAACAGCTGCTTCTCACTACAAATGTGTTTTAGCACTGTTACTTGAAATTCTTACTTTTGTATCTTCAAATATTAAGAAAAGTTGGGGCTAGGGGTGCAGCTCAGTGGTAGAGCACTCGCCTAGTATGTGTGAGCCCCTGGCTTCGACCTTTAGCACCACAGATAAAAAAATAGAAAATTTTAATCTAAGAAAAGATGATAATGACTAAATTAAAGATTAGCTAATGCTAGGGTTTTGGCTTGAGAATTTTCTCTTAATGACTCATGTAATGTCAAAGTAATACTCGTACTAAGGAGTTGATGTGTTATCAGTTGGTTTGATATAGGTAAATTATAAAATCTCTTGTGTCATTGTCTTCCGGTCTAGCTTCCACGATTTATGTTTCTAGGAGAAATAATCATTGTAACTTTAATAAAATTGTGCATCAGATAGCACCTGTGTGCACAAATTCTTCTGACAAAACTGATAATGAAAGTATTTACATAATATTGGCTGAAACCGAAAAGTCAGTGTTCTCCCCATATAGAGCACGGGGGGGGGGGGCGCACGGGTTCCTCTAGGTGGAACAATCTGGCAGATTTGAAAATGATTGAAGATTCATCCTGTCATTCATGTCAGTGATTTTGTGATCTGTCCTGGAAGAGGGATTTTGGTATTTTAAATTGTAACTATCCATGCTGCCCTTTTAGTATAATTTAAGGACAAAGGACATAGTAATGACACAACGTAACTTGTTTTATTATCTTCCTGTGTTTGAGAGGGTTTTTTTAAATTTATTTTTTAGGGAAGGGTCTACAGGATATTCAGGGTCTCACTACTAGATGGGACTCTTAGTGATCCGCCTGTTTACAGCCTCTCAAGAGCTGGGATTACAGGTGCATGACACTGCTCCCAGTCTCAATTACCATGTCAGCACACCCCAGGGGCAGGGCCAGCACAGCAGTCCCAGGGATTGAACACCCGGCTCCTGCACCTGCTTGCAGGTGTTTTAATCCACTGAGCTATTTGGCCGGCTCTTGTATTTGAGTTTTGTCCCAAGAGTAACCAGAGTCTCCACCAAGACACCACCTCAGCCCCCCAGTGGGAATCAAAGCCTTACCAAGAGCATCAGCCTGCCTGAGGAAGGGAGCCCACTACTCAGGAAATGAGAATAGAGCCAAGGTTGGACAGTGGGAGAGGTGGGGGCTGGGAACACAGAGTCACTTGGGGCAAGGTGCTCTGCCGGACCAGGTCTGGGCCTGACATGCTGTGGCAGGGCCTTGGGGATTGTCCGCAGACCCGTGCTGGTCTGGGCTTGGGCAGGTGATGAGACTACACCTTTCAGTGCCTGCAGAGGTGGATAGGATGACTTTTCTCCCTGGACTCTTGCTACTCATAGCTGCCACACAAAGGGTGCTTTGGCACCCAGGTGACCCTCAGTGTCTGAGACAGTTCTCCGAGAGAAGAGTGAAGCCCGAAGTCATGTCACACACACTGGTGGGTGGACAGAAGCTGCATCGCATGGTCCCCCATGAGTGCCGAGGAAGCGCCCTGGACGGAGTCAGGCTAGGTTCAATTTCTAGTTCACTCTCACTATGAAGCACTGGCCCTCAACACTCCCTCACTGATAAAAATGTTACGGAGGGTGTGAAAGTTCTTCCCTACCCTCCAGAACTGTTTATTAGAGGTCAGGGAGGGAATGATAAATACTATAAGGCAGTGCTTGTCTAACTTTTAAGTATATGCAAATCACCTAAGGCTCTTTTAAAATGGAGACTACTGAAGACGGGCAGATGAAAAAGGCAATAATGACATTGTACGCCCTTTGGTGGATAGTATTGGCAAGTCTTCAGTGTACAATTGAGGGGATGTTTAAATCTGAAAAAAAGGACCAAGATTTTAAATCCCACCCACCATAAGAAGGGAAAGGAATGACTCAAGGTCTGAGAAAGGGAAGATTTCAGAAAGCTGGGGGTGGGGGATTGCTGAGCATCCGTCTGCTGATGGACAGATGGGTGACATCTTGCTCCTGCCCACAGCCTGGGAGGCAGCTCGGCCTCTTGGGATAATTACTTTTGAAGAAGTGGCTCCTAGGCTCTGGGTTATAGGAGATATTCATGTCCCTCCAAGGGTCAAAGAAGAGGTTTACTATTATAATTTTATAGCAGAAACATTTTAGGAAAAGGGAGGTGAGCAGCCTATGGTCAGGTACTGGCTGGAACAAACGGTAAATTCTCTGAGCCTCCTGGAGTTTCTCCAGGCAGGAATTCAAGGGAACATGCGGTCTTGAGCTGCTAGAAATTGCTAGTGTTTGTTCAAGCCTGTGTGTGTGTGTGTGTGTGTGTGTGTGTGTGTGTGTGTGTGTGTTTGTGTTTTGCAGCTCTCAAGACCCCAGGACAGCACCTTGGGATTTCTGAGCTGTAGGTAATTCTGGTGCACTGCTGGCCCTGGGCTCTCCCCTAGCGAAGCGGTGCTCCAACGGCAACCTCACAAATCAAAGGCATTCACCTCCGGGGACCCTGGTGAGCAGCTGCTGTAGTCTTTACAAATAGGTTTCTTTTTTTATTTATTTGATGAACAAATTGAGAATCCACAATGCAAACTGCTGAGAATAAACAAAATGTCCTTTACTGTACAGCTGGTGGTTCTCGGTCTTGGTTACACAGTAGCATTCCTGAAGGAGGTTTTCTAGACCTCCATGCCTAGGCGCATTAAATAGAATCTCTGGGAGGGAACTCAGGCAGTAAATGTTTATTTAAGCTCCTGGATGATTACAATAAGCAGCCAAAGATGAGAACCAGTGTCAAGCTTGGAAGACCAGCAGTTACACCTCAGGAGCCCTTTCCCAGGACTCTCTGTGTGCAGCTCAGGTGAGTTTGAGGAAAGTCTGAGTAGCAAGTGGATATGGAGTGGTGGGGATGCCTGCTCATGCAGAGCTCTAAGGGTGGGCATTTGGGTAGTAAAGAACAGACAACTGAGAGGATTTTGTTACATTTTGTTTACCCAATTCGATGTCTTTTTCCCAGCGTGGGGATTTCTCAGCAGCATACCCATGGCCACATTCTCTGTCCCCACAGCACAGGGCCTGCTGTGTAGTACGGACACATGGAGAGGTGATGGGGGCAAGCTGTAGGGTTTCATGATTCCAGAGATGGATGAGGTCAGAGCTGATGCTGAACAATTCTCCCAGCCCTGGCTGCCTCAACTCACCATCCTGGATCGCACGGCCCATAAACCTCTGCAAGTGAGTACTCACAAGTGGATGTTTGGGAAGAGAGGGAGGAAAAGCTACTGTTTCTGGGTTAATCTTTCAAATATTTTGTAAGCTTTAAGAAGAAGGGGCTGTTTGTGTGTGGTGTGTGTGTGTGTGTGTGTGTGTGTGTGTGTGTGTGTGTGCTTTTAAAGAAATAGCCCAGAGGATGAGGGTGGGTACGATCCCCAGGTCTTGGGAAGGGTCCTTCCAGCTGTGTAAGGTCCCTTCCCATGTGATAAGTGGTGACCAGGGCCAGTCCCATGCACCAGCCAGGCTGGAGTTGGTTCTTCACATGGAGTGCAGGCCGAGGTGGAGCGTGTGAACTGCTTGAGACAGGTTGCCCAGGGTGGGGTCCCTCACAGAGTGGCTTCTGTCAGACACTGGAAGGAAGTAAGGAACTGGCTCTCAGGAGTACTGGTTAAGGGGCGCACTAGGCAGAAGCAGCAGCAAATGCAGAGGCCCAGAAGTGGGAATGGGATTACTCTGCTCATGAAGTGATCAAGAAAGCAAGAACGACAAGAACTGTTCAGACACTGGCAGCCATGGGGAGAACTTCCATAATTGCTGAGAGCAATGGAGTTGGCTGGAGGCGTCCAGCAGAGTAAGGATGTGATGACTGCCATCATTCTGGGTGCTTGGAAAGAAGAGACTGCCAAGGACTGAGGGTGGCAGCAGGGAGACCCCTTCAGAGCTGTTACAATGATTTAGGCCAAGTGATCCAGAGCAGCTCATAGTGGGAGGAGTAAGTGACCAAACACACCTGACTAAGAGGATTCCCGAACCACCGCATGTGGGCTAAGAGGGAGAGGAGTCGAAGAGGATGCTGATTTGGGGACAACAAACCGAAAGGGATTCTTGCATCAAAGTGGAGCAGAGGTTGATGGATAGCCTTCTCGTAAAATGCTGCTGAAGCAACAAGGAGTGACCCGGAGGTGTAGGTGTTAACGTGGACACACTGAAACAATGCTAAAGGAAACAACACACTTCAGAATGAAGTGTTCAGTAGGACCCAATGTACATAAACATTTAAGACATGCAAACGGCATTGTTTAGGGCTCCAGACAGGCTTGGCAAGCACAGAAACAATCATGGGATGATAAAGAGTGTGCAGCCAGGACTGGGCCCCTCTGGGAGTATCATGCTTTTAAAACGCCTGTCATTTGGGCCAGATCCTAGTTCAGTTAAATCAGAATCTCTGGGGATGGACCCAGGCACTAGTATTCTTTAGAAACCTTGAGGGGATTCTACTATGCAGACAAGGTGGAAAAGCACACAATTGTGAAATCTTAGAGCAGCAGAAGGAATTTTCCTGTTGTGTACCACAACCTTGGTCAGTGTCTGGGATTTAAGCAAGAGCCACCGATGCCCTAATTTCCATGATGTTCATCCAGGAAGCATGGTTAACCTCTCCCGGGAGGCAGCTGAGCAACTTCCTGTAAAAAGAACTCCTTGGAGAGATGGCTGATTATGCGCCAGGAGCAAAGTGCATGCAGGATGTTGTTGTGCGTGCAAAGCACAACATATTGTCATACCAGAGAACAAGCAGGTTCGCTCCTGTATTCATTTGTTTGTTTGTTTTGGTTGTTTCAAACAGGGCCTTGTTATGTGGTTCATGCTGGTCTCTTTGCAGTCTAGAGATCCTCCACCCTCCCCCTCCTGAGTGCTGGTATTACAGGTATGCACCACCACACACAGCTGCACGCAGGTTCTTAAGGACCACCGAAGAACTGTAGAAAGGACAGACTCGGGAGACAAAAGCAGCTCTCAGCTAAGACAGAATGACTGGGCATCAATGATAATAACTGCAAAGAGACAAAATGTATCAGATATGTTTAAGGCTATTGATTATAATCCTTTACAAGAAAAGTTTGGGATGATACTTTTAAAAAACTCATTTTGAAACTTGATAAATGAAACGTATTTACTTGCCTTTGCTACTTAAAAGCAACCAGTGTTGATGACAGAAGTTGCTCATTGCAGGAATAGTCTTTCGAGCCGGACAATGACACTTAGAGTGGGAGTCTCCAGAGGTAGCCATTAAAGAGGCCTGACCCAGGAGGATCCAAGTTTGAGCCCAGTTTGGGCAACTTACTTAGCAAGACCCTTTCTCCAAAAGAGGCATGAAGATGTTACATGTGCAAAGGCCCAGAGAGTTCAATTTCCAGGACAGAAAGACAAGAAAAGAAAAGCTATGTGTTC